CTGCTGAAACAATTTTTGTGATGAAGTTCGCTATTTAAAAGAAAATTTTTAACATCTCTCCAAAAAAACTTTCCTCCATGGTTACAAGACAGACATATCATACAATCCCAATAGAAATTAGTCAAAACAAATGAGAAGTAAAAAGCTTAATTCCTGAGAACATTGCTTTCTAAGTGATGTAAATCATTGGCTTACTGGAATTCTACGACTCCGATGAACTTACTTATTTTAGAAGGAAATGTATTATCTCTCGCGTTCCAATTAAATTTGCTATTGCAATTTGTTCCTCTTCGTTCTGCTGCAAAAATGAATAATTTGAAGCAGAGTCGTTGGTTTTTTTTATTTGCAATTGCCTCTTGAAATTAATAGTGCAACATAACAAGATCTGCTCAGGCTTTCATTGTGGGGAGTTACCCTTGTCAGTGATGTTGCTAGAATGCTCCCACATACACAGTGCAGCAAAGCCCTTGGACGCTGGGTTTCACGCCTGCTGTTAATATCCACCGTCTGTCCTCTACATGTGCGCCACCTCTTCAAGGGTGACTTCGGAATGACCTTATCTGCAAGCATCACTCACTAATGCGCATTGCTAACAATCACCAAAATAAGCGACAATAACAAGATCGGCCAAACTGCAGGTATAGAGCTATCGAGATAGCTGAGGTGTGTCTGCATATGCCTAATAGGGCCGTTCTTGTTCTCCGAACTTAGCCTGTTTCTCTTCAATTTTTGTCTAGATATGTGCATTTTTCGTGAGTTTTCATCAGACATACTGCTTTTATTACTTGAGGTTCTAGTTACCTTGTGACCTAACTTAGTATAAATTAACTGTTTGTCTCTCCACAACTTTCGACTCATTCCTGTTTTCGCTCCGTACTTTGCTTAGTGGGCGGGATGTCTCATTATGCGTTTTTGCATAGTACGCAAATGCAAAAACGCGTATTGTGATGACCCCCGTGTGTGTATGTGTGTGTGTGTGCGTCTGTCCGGATATTTCAACTCGGCACCCAAGCAAGCTCCGG